GCTGGGGAATCCTGGGAGTTTAAGTCCACACCTCTTCAAGTTGCCAAGGTTGAGAAACACTGAGTTATACAGTATTATATAAGAATATTGTTCCGACTTACGTACAAATTCAACTTAAGGACAGATCTTGGGAACGGAACTCGCTCCCCAGCTGGGGAATTTCTATAGAATCAAGGGTTAGGGCCCTGGATGGGCTGCAGAAACAAGGATTCGATTCTGCTCCTTTTAGGCTGCCAGAACGTACCGTGTGGTTAAATACCGCAACCCCCATGCCCCTTCTGGGCCTCGGCACCTTCCGCCTTCAGGGGGACGAGGCAATCCGCGTCAGCCTGGATGCTGCTCTGGAGAACGGCTACCGCTTGGTGGATACAGCCGCCGTCTATGGCAACGAGGCCGCCCTGGGGCGAGTGCTCCGGGAATTGCTGCCACGCCACCGTCTCGCTCGCGAGGACCTTTTCCTGACCAGCAAGCTGAGCCCAAGGGATCATGGAGTAGAAGCTGCCCAAAGGGCCTGCCTTCGCAGTTTGCAAGACCTAGACTGCAATTACCTGGATCTCTACCTTATCCACTGGCCAGGAACTCAAGGCCAGCCCCAGGAGGACGCCGGGAACCGGGAACGCCGGCTCCAGAGTTGGCGAGCCTTGGAGAGGTTGCATGAAGCTGGCAAGCTGCGGGCAATCGGCGTCTCCAACTATACCCTCCAGCACCTTCAGGAACTGCTGGGCCACTGCAGGGTGAGGCCCGCTGTCCTGCAGGTGGAATTCCACCCTGAGCTGGCACAGCTGGAGCTTCTCGAATTTTGCAGCCGGAACGGCATCCACTTGCAAGCTTATTCCTCGCTGGGCACCGGTCAGCTGGTAGGGCATCCGGAAGTGGAGGCTGTAGCCCGGCAGCACAGTCGCACGCCCGCCCAGGTCTTACTACGCTGGGCCCTCCAGCAGGGCGTCAGCGTGATCCCGAAGTCAGCATCTCCCCGCCGCGTGGCTGAAAACGGCCAGCTCTGGTCATGGGCCTTGAGCCAAGCCGAAATGGAGAAACTGCGGAGCCTGGATTGCGGGAAACGTTTTTGCTGGGATCCGAGTGGGGTGGCTTAGCAAGCTGGCCTGGGCGGGACACTAGCAAAGTTTCGGCTTAAACTTTAGGCGTGGCTTAAACCAGGGGTCCCCAAACGCTTCAGCTCATCGACCCCTTCGTGAAGTTTCAGATTGTTCGCTGGCCTCCAAACATTTATTATATGAAATTAATTTAATAAATACTACTTTAACTAATAGTAGTATGAAGAAGAAAAGACGACGAAAATAATGGATAATCCTGTTAACCCTTGGGGTCCCCATCAACCACCTTGGGGAACTCTAGCTTAAACGCAGCTTCCTATTCTGCGACTTGATGTTTGTAAGGTCCTAGCATAGGTGGTTAATTTATGGTTTGATGACCCTAAATTCCTCCTGGCTGACCCAACCATGAATTAACGTGGTTTATGAACACCAGGCTATTTTTGTGATGGGATCTGTTGGGAGATTGTGACGAGGAAGATTGTAAGAGGCTGAAGCCATGGCCGGTGAGAAGCCAGAAGTAACAACCTTTAATAAAAGTTTATATACATTTTTTTCTTTAGGAACCAAGCAAATAAAAATGAAACAGAGAGTGTACGTGAGAAACAACCCCGTGGTTTTTGTCTTGTTAAAAAGGGGTATTCACTCAACTCTCTAGGAAGGAGAGAATGTGGTTCCTGGAAAATTAAGGGTGTTGGATATTGGGGGGTGGGGAAGAATTTGATCCAGGGTGGGAGGTAAAAATCTGGCACGTGCCATAGTGTGAGGTCTTGAGTAAACTTCTTGTAGGGGGATAAGGAATGGAAGTGCTACGGAAAGAGCTGGGCACCCTGGGTAATTTTGAGGTGCCCCAGAGGAAAGACTGTGCTGTCGCAACCCCGCCACATTGATTGCCCCCTCCCCTCTTCCCCCCTGTAACAGATAGCAGCCAAACCCGGTTAACATCCGGACGGGCCGTTGTCAGGGCAGCTGCGGCGCCACCAGGAACGCAGAGTGTCCTTCCAACTGGGTGTGCGATCCATGTGGGAGCAGGTCCCCGCACTTTTCGGGCGCGGCAGCTTCTGCAAGAGAACGAGGAAAGCACGGGCTGACGGACCTACAGATTAGCGCTCTGCCGATTGGCACAACGTTGCCTTTGTGCCCATCGTGGTTGATTTTTTCCTCTCTTTAAGGGGCTCTGATTTCAGCAGAGCGAAAGGAAGATCCGTTGCGATTTTCCCTTTTTGAAATGTATTCAATCAAGCCAAAGCTTCAGCCCCCCCCCCCCCCCCCCGGTTGCTTTCAGCCAAGATGTGGGTAGGCTTGACTTGGAATAAGCCGTTGTTTCTAAAGCTGAATTTAGCAGACCCAGAACCCGGGTGAGAGAGGGGATTCTGTAAACCACGGTTTAGGATAATGGGCGAACCAGCCTTGGGGGAGGTTATTCTCCTAGTAATTCTCTTTTGCAAGAGTTCTCTAAATGTAAGGATCGTTCCTTGTTTGCCATGTTTATCTCCCTGCACCATGCCAGCCTTACCTGGAGTGCACCATGGAACTCATCGCTCATCCTGCGTAGCTCCCGCCCGTATCGCTGAGCAGCCCATAAGATTGGAGGGGCAGAACGTGAACGTGCCCGGAACGCCCCCACCTCATCTGAGGTCTCTGAATCTAGCAAAGGAGGGTCTGACCCAATACGGCGTCTCAGTTCTAGCAGAGGGAGAAAGCAAGAAATAGTTTAAGAGAGGTCACGATGCACTAACAAAGTTACTAGTCCATCAGGTGAACAGTCGGAGCCCGATTTGATAGGGATTTCCACCCAGGGAAATCCCACGAGTCTAGAGGGGGTGGGTTTAAGATTGCAGCTGAATGAGAGGGGGGGAGGTTCCAGTTGTACGCTCAGCTGGACCGGCACAATTTCCACTTAATGGGCTTTAATCAGGAGATACAGCATTTCGCTCTTGCCAGCAGCCCCGTTCAAATTGTACATTGCATAGCTCAGATTTTGGATGAGACAAGAACAGGGTCACATCAACCTTGTATGGAAGTCAGCGCTGGGCATGGCCTATCCCCAACATTTGGGGATTTGGATATTCCAAAATTCCCTTTTGTCTCTTCTTCCCCACCCAGCAGACTTAAAATTGGCCATCCAAGGGCAACTTAAAACGAAACCAAAGATCACAGATCATCCACCCCGATTGTGGTACATTGGACCAATTTTCAAGCTCTCAGGCTGAAACGTGCCGCAGCCTGAAGATAGATTGCTGTCTGCATCTTGCCGGTTTCCAGCAGCCTCTTGTGTGAACCCGTGCTGCGGTTTAGCTGAGAGACCGCGACGAAGCACACCAGGGCTTAACCAGGGCTGTTCTCTCGCACGGGGTAAAAACCCACAGGACAGCTCACATGTGGGAAATCATGCGCTAGGTAGAAGCCCTCCACCCATCCTCACCTGGATTCTCATGAGACGGACTGTTGAGATCTTTGGCCCCTCCGGCGCTCAGCCTGAGATCAGTCGGGTCCTTCTCATCGGCGGGGAAAGTCTCATCTTGGAATTCAGAAATCCGGAACATGATCAGGGGGCTGGCATTGCCCCTGTCTCTGAGCTCAATGCGCTCCAGAAGGCTGAGTGTTACTGGCCTGGCTACGAGAAAGAAAGGGGCACCACGATCAAAAGCAACGTTGGCTCCAGAATGTAACATCCCAATGTTCAGAGTCAGATCCTCGGCTTGTCGGATTCGTTGCTTTGGACACAGATCGGTAGCCTCTTCCCAAGCTTTGGGTGAGACCATTTGTCTCTCTAGCCCGGTGCTGCTCCATTCCAGCCCCTTTGAAGATGGGTGGACTTCAACTCCCAGAATTCCCCCACCAGCGGGGGAATTCTGGGAGTTGAAGCCCAGGCATCTTAAAAGGGGCTGCTTTGCAGAAATGCTGCTCTCCTGGAAATGCTGTGTTACAACCTCAACCTGGTTAACACAACCTGATGATGCTCCCCAAGCCTGTCAGCGATGCCAACCAACCCTTTTCTAGCCTCACGGCAGGCCGGATTCACCCACAAGGGCAGGGTTCCCACAGCCCCCGGAATCTCAAGTGACCCACTCCTTTGTGTCGGTGTGGACCCAGGTTCCCGGGGGCCAAGCTAGGATGGCAACTCAGGGCTGAGCCAGGAACCAGGAAGCCGCGGGGCTCCAACTCCACAGCCCGCCTGACTCACACCATGAGCTCACGAA